TAACATCTAAGATATGAACTAAGAAAAACATCAACTAAATATACACTAAGCACTCATAACATAAAACATTGAACATCAGCACAAACATGAACATGAGTCTGTGAGCAGATGTGCACGCATGAACACATCAACATTGAAACAGATCAGCAGCAACATGAAACAGATCAGCAGCAACATGATATGGTTTTTCACAGTGCTTATTCTAGTTAGAGATTCATGAGTCTAACAGCCTCAGGGTAGAAGCTGTTCCTCAGTCTAGTGGTTCTACACTTAATGCTCCTTAACCTCCTTCCTGAGGGGAGTGGGGCAAAAAGTGTGTGTGCTGGGTGAGTGGGGTCCTTCATGATGCAGGTGGCCCTCTTCCTGCATCTGGAGGTGTAGATGTCTGTGATGGTGGGGAGACTGATTCCAACAGATTTCTGTGCAGCCTTCACCACTCTCTGCAAAGTTTTTCTTTCTGCAGCTGTGCAGCCTCCATGCCACACATTGATGCTTGAGCACAGGATGCTCTCCACTGCACACCTGTAGAAGGACTTGAGGACTGAGCTTCCCAGACCAGCTCGCCTCAGCTGTCTGAGGAAGTAGAGTCTCTGATGAGCTTTCTTGATCAGGCTGGTGGTGTTGTTGCTCCAGCTGAGGTTGTCATTCATGTGTACACCCAAGTACTTGTAGCTGGAGACCACTTCCACCGCAGATCCTCTTATGTTCAGGGGGGTGTAGGTGTTTTTGTTCCTTCTGAAGTCCACAATCATCTCCTTTGTCTTCTTCACATTGATGTGAAGGTTATTCTCTCTGCACCAGCTCTCCAGGTGTTCCACCTCCTGCCTGTAGCTGGACTCATCATTGTTTGTGATGCATCCCACCACCGCTGTATCATCTGCAAACTTTACAATGTGACAGCCTGGATGGGTAGCTGCACAATCATATGTGAGCAGAGTAAACAGGAGGGGGCTCAACACACATCCCTGAGGAGAGCCAGTGCTGAGGGTTATGGTTGAGGAGGAGAGGTTGTGGATCCTCACTAACTGTGGTCTGTTTGTTAAAAAGTCTAGTACCCAGTTGCAGATGGAGGGGCTTAGTCCTAGTGTGGATAGTTTGTCCATCAGGGTTTGGGGGATCATGGTGTTGAAGGCGGATGTGAAGTCCACAAAGAGCATACGGACGTAAGAGTTTTTCTGCTCCAGGTGGTTGAGCGCAGTCTGGACCACAGAGGAGATTGCATCCTCTGTTGATCGGTTCTCACGGTATGCGTACTGATGAGGGTCCTCGTTGATGTTGATGGTTGTTTTGATGTGAGTCATGACCAGTTTTTCGAAGCATTTAGCGACTATCGGGGTGAGGGCCACTGGCCGATAGTCATTCAGACCAGTCACTGTAGAGCTTTTTGGGACTGGGATGATGGTGGCAGTCTTCAGGCAGGTGGGAACTGTCTCCAGGGTAAGTGAGGTGTTAAAGATGTCTGCCAGCACCTCACAGAGCTGATCAGCACATTCCTTCAACACTTTTCCGGGGATGTTGTCTGGGCCAGTTGCTTTGTGCGGATTAATCCTCCTGAAGGTACTCCTTACTTCTGCTGAGGTCACGCAGAGATGCTCTTCATCCGGTGGTGAGGTTTTGGGAACAGGCAGAACTTTACTGACATCTACCTTGAGTCTGTGTTGGTCCACTTGGTTCCAAAACCTCCAAATTAAATGGCCACACCAATTGACCATGCCTGAGAATAATCCCAGAGATCTGATCCATTCTGCCAAAAGCATTTGAGTCTGGGTGCTCGAGGCACAAACCAAGCCATCATATAAGGCAGGCAGCCTGACCAGGGCTAAATTTACTGCCAGCAACCTTGTTTGTTGATAGACCAGGAACCAGCCAAATCTAAAATGCAGGAAACCAGTTATCATAAATCCAATTATATATATGTGTCCTTAACATCCACAAATGACAGAGATAGACACATCAAGTCTTCCAAGACAATGATATATCCAGCTGTGTGCGTGCCAACAGGGCAAATCGGCTCACCTAAAGCCTGTCTTCTCTTCAAAGAAAGACTGTTTGTATTTTTAACATCACTTGAACTATACATGTATATCATCATGAGAGTGATGACACAACATGGACACTGAGAATTTGGTAAGTTACTTTTGTTTTTGGCCATATCAAAATGTGCAAACATAGTATTTCAAAATGTAATCCAAAATGAAACATGTGCATTTGACATGTGTACAACAATAAAACTACTGATAGGATAGGTGATCTTCTTGTCACAACGCAAGATTCTGCCAAAGAACATTTCGTCTTGACATTTTTGTGAATGCACTTTTAATCATAGCACCCACTTAGATGTTAGAGAACAAGAACACTTCATCCATGGCAAGAACAGTGTGCCCTGTCACGCGGCAAAAAGAAAAAGTGTTGACCTTTAAACACCCCAGATCCCAATCTGATCAAGTATCCTGGGGACAGCTGAAGGAACCACAGTGTCCAAAGGTTATGCTGTCAGGCACAACACCACGTCCTGGTGTTCCTGTGACCACGTCTCTGTGGGGTGAAGCTTTCTCTGCACTATGACGGATTACCCACACAACATGAAGCAGGTGGTTTGAACGTTTATGGAAGATTAGTGCACCTGCCAAAAAAAGCAACAACATTTTTTTTTTTTTTTTTTTGGGCGACTATAACCTACAGATGCAAAAACTTATCTGAAAAGATGAATTAGGTGAATTTTGTCTGAAGATTTTGTCATTTACAAAATAGTTTTGAACAAAGATAAAATGCACAAAAGTTCTGCTAAGATTTGTTGTTGAATTATTTAGAACTCCACTGTTAAAGACACTAAAAGCCCTGGTTTACAATCAGAAACAACACATTTAAACTTTTAATAATAAAATCATTCAAGCAATGTCACAAAATAACTAATGTGTTCGAATAAAATCAATCTGATTGATCAAGATCACACTCTAAAGTTCGAATGAAAAATTAAGTACAAACATTTCTTGTTACTGTGTTTTAAAAAGGTGTTTTTATCTCTGTTTCTAGTGTTCAGTTTGTACATATATGCTCACAACTAAACACTTAACTGTCAGGGCTTTATGCTCATGTCATCTATCACGACTTCTTTCACTGACTTTATCAAAAAGAAATCGTGCATCAGTGTTGAGGCATTTTAAATTGAAAAGAGAGAGAGAGAGGGAGAAAACTATCTAAAACTAAGGCACACAGTTCAATAAAGCTGGTGCCACAAACTCAGAGACTGAAATAGCTTTGAGCCCTCACCAAAAATTCTTAAATCCTAGATGCAATTTGAATAATAAATGTGTATTTAAATATAAAAGTTCTGTAATGCAGGACCTGCTGCTTCAAAGAAAATCTTCACAAACAATATCTGCAGCTTTAACCAGACGGAGCTTGCACTAAGTATGGAACAACAACACGAGGGTCATGTTTGTGTCACATTTTAACTTGTTTTCAGTTCTTTTACTTAGTAATACATGTA